ATAAACAGAAATTGACAGTCATAGAATGGAGTAATAATACTTAGAGAAATATTAGCAAGAAAATGTTTCTCTTTCCATTTATTTTCTTTAATTTCTTTATTCTAAATTCTTAGCTTTCATTTGGCTCTTGAATTTTTTCATTCCAAGTTCTTTAATTTTCAATATTCCTGTATTTTAGAATTTCAGGCTCTTGAGTTATTTTTTAGTTCTTTCTCCTGGCTCTTTTATGATGTTTCTCTTCTAAAATGAATTTTGTGTATGCATTTCGTTTGAAAAAAATCAAGAATTTAGGGGCCTAGTGTTTGAAACAGACAAAAATTGAAAGTTATAAAATGAGTAATCATAATGAAATATTAGTCCTGAAGACGTCTGAAAGACGTTGGGTTTTATAATATACGACGTCTTCAAGATGTCTTTAGACTCAGAGTATTTATTTGAAATGTTGAAAGGCGTTTCTAAAACGTTCGGTCTCGACATCTATATGACGTTTGAAGTTGCGAGATTTGCGTTCTCAGTTACTTTAACACGACGTTCTGACGTTCAATTGGAGATGTTTTTTGAATCTTCTTGTGCTATTAGGGTGATGCGTGGAGGTCGGCTTCCACCACATCGACATCCAAAGTCTAAATTCTCTGGATAGAAGTTTTAAAACAATAGTTGGCTATTTCTGTTTAAAGAAAAGCAAAGTTAACTTGAGGACATCTATTTTGAGGCACCTTGAGGTACCTCCTGCAAAATATCTCCATGAAAGCATAATTATAGTGCAGAATGTATGATTATTTTGTTTGGTTTTGAAAAATTACAACGAGTGATTATTGTGGTCCCGTTACTCGGTCTTATACTGAGTGTTGTGTAAAATTGCCATTTTTTTTTTTTTTGAAAAATCAGAAGATAATAAGATAACCACGAAATAGCTGGCAAATGTTCCATTAAGTGCATTTTTAGGGAACCTAAGGCCACTGGAGAAGTTTTTGGCTACCCATGTGGTTTTTGCAAAAGGGTATTATGCAGGGGTTGTACTGGTATTAGTTCTATGAGACGATATCTAATCTTGGCCACTCGCATTGTTCCATACCTGTGCAAGGATTGTATACCAGGAATTAAAAAAGCATTAAGCCTTTGACAGCAGAGTCCAGGCGCTAGAAGATACTTTGAGTGAAGTTCAGATTGCTTACAGCCAGAAAATAGATGAGTCTGATACCCAGATTAAGGCGATAACTAAAGAAGTTAAGAGTTTGAAAACTAGCTTTTTAGCCTCCCTACAAGATATTAAAAATGACCTTACCAATATAAATACCTCTACTTCAAGTAAGGAGAAATACAGCGGAAACAGTGCATTGGTGCACGGTAATGTAATGCACGAGGTCTCTGAGAGACAAAGAAGATCCTGTAACCTGATGGCATTTAATTTGCCCCAAAGCAATGAGGTTGAAGATATCTCTAAGACAAAGGATATGCTTCAAGGCCTCACAGAATATCGTTAACTCAACTAGAATTGGAAAGCGTAATAAAAATGGGCATCAAGCACTTCGTCTAACTTTAGAGTCTCCCGAAGTAGTCCATTTAATATTAAGAAACAAGCGGAAACTGGACAGAAGCTTAAAAATATTTCTTGACGCTGATTTAATCACAGAACAACGAGCAGAGGTGAATATTTTGAAAAATTAACTCAAGGAGAGACAGCGAAATGGTGAACATGATCTCATTCTGAAATATGTAAATGGAGTACCTACCTAAATTAATCACAAAAAACTAAGAAGGCTTCCCAAGGTAAGACCAGAAAGCACCACTTTGCTGATATATTTCCAAAATGTCAGAGGCCTACGTACAAAACTTCAACTTCTTTATGAAAATACCTCTTGTTGCCAATATGATGTTTTAGTGAAACCTGGTAAACTGGCGATATTATTGATGCTGAACTACAAATGTTTGACTACAACAGATATCGGAATAAGGACAGATCATCAGATACATACTTTTTCTAGAGGAGGTGGGGTACTAATAGCTGTCCGTAAAACCATAACCAGCACAATTTTATCAGCTACCATAAATATTGAGCAATTGTTTGTTGAAGTCCAAAGTGGTTACAACAATTTTATCTTTGCAACAGCTTATTTCCCACCCCGACGTGCACCAGAAAAGCACGTGGAGTTTAGTAAGAGTATTGAGAATCTATCTGAAAAATATCCAGAACACAAACTTTGTATGGCATTTTCTGAGAGGGACGTCGTAAGAGGAATAGTTCAGGACCTCATGAAAAATGATATTATCTGTGACTCATCTTCACCTTATGCAAGTCCCGTCCTACTGGTGAAAAAGTAGAATGGTGAGCCGCGCATGTGCATAGATTATAGAGCCTTAAATCGTAAAACGCTGAAAGATAAATACCCATTGCCAAGGATCGATGACCTCCTGGACTCTCCCAGAGGTTACATCTGTTTTACGACCCTAGACCTAGCATCTGGATACCATCAAGATCTCATTGAATAAAGAATCAATTCCGAAGGCTGTGTTTGTAACACCAGATGGACACTTAGAGTTCCTGCGAATGCCATTTGGACTTGTAAATGGTCCTGCGGTTTTTCAGAAAACAATAAACCAAGTATTGGGTTTATTGCGATTCGAAACAGCTTTATGGCGGCATATTTGGACGACGTATTAATACCGTCAATATCATTACCAGATGGATTTAAAAAGCTGAAACAGATACTAAATATCTTTAGAGAAGCCGGTTTTACACTTAGGTTGAATAAGTGCTATTTCCTTCAAGAGAACATAGAATATTTAGAACATGAAGTATTATCTAATATCGGTATAAGTCCTGGTGTAGATAAAATTGAAGCCATGGCTGAATTTCCAACACTACCAATAACGTTCATGATGTTAGAAGATTTTTGGGACTAGCTAGTTATTTCAGAAAATTTATAAACGGATTTGCCTCCATTGCCAGACCAATTTCTTCACTTACCAAGAAAAACTCCGTTTTTGCTTGGAATATGAAACAGAAAATTGCTTTTGAGGATTTAAAGAAATAGCTTGGAGAGAGACCCATACTGGCAATATACAACAGGAAGGCTGAAACCGAAGTCCACTATGACGCTAGCAAAATAGGATTGGGAGCAATACTATTGCAAAAAAAAAGCGATAATAATCTAAAACCCATTCAATACTTCAGCCGAGCCATTACTCAAGCCGAACAGAAGTATCATTCCTATGAGTTGGAAACGTTGGCATTTGGCATTAGTGGAGGCCCTCAAAAAGTTCTGAATTTACCTCATAGAAAGTAAATTTGAAGTTGTTACAGACTGCAATTCACTCCGCCACACATTAATGAAAAGATATTTAGTCCCACTTATTGCTAGATGGTGGATTTTCATGCAGGAGATCGATTTTGACAGAAACCAAAATGGCGCATGTGGATGCTTTGAGCAGAGGTCCAATCCAAAACATTGACGTTATGAATGTTAATTTATCCGGGGAGGATTGGGTATTGTCTGCACAACTCCAAGATGAATATTGTCGCTACCTAATAGAGACGCTATTACGAAAACCGTCAGCGTAAGGTGATAGTAAGACCAAAGGAATCCGTAAGCATTATTGCCTACAAGATAAACGCTTATACAGAATTACAAATGGTGGACGGTAATAGGTAGACCGAAATCATCAAGGCGGACTATCGCTACATATTACCATGATGGAGCTGGTCACTTTGTAATAGACAAAAGGTTGGAAGCTATGAGTTCACGTTATTGGTTTCTAGAAATGAGAAATTATGTGTAAAACTATATAAGATCCTGTTTAGGGTATCTATACAATAATAAAAGGCCATCCGGTAAACAGCCTGGAAGTCTAAATCCAATCGAAAAATTAAGTGTGCCCATGGACAAACTACACATCGATCACGTTGGACCGTTTGTTACAAGCGTTAGGAAAAATGCATATTTGATAGTTGTCGTAGAATCATTTACCAAATTCGTATTCCTGAAAGCAGTAGCAAGTACAAAAACATTACCAGTGTAACGTTTCCTGGAATACATCATTGACATGTTTGAAGTTCCAAGAAGATTGATTTGCGATCGTGGAACAGCGTTTACAAGCAAAAGTTTTACGGACTTCTGTCATTCGTTAGGTATTAAACGTGTTTTATGTGTAACCGCTACACCTAGAGCTAATGGGCAAGTGGACAGGATGAATTGCTCAATTCTGTCGGCCCTATTGGCTTCTATCCAAGATAGGTCCCGATGGAACGACACCATAAGTAAAGTTACGTGGGGAATAAAGAATGAAACTTTATGTTACGGATACGACAGTTATTGATGATGACATTAGTGAGGATAACCCAGTAGACGAATAAAATGTTTCGTCTCTGGCTTTAAGTCTAGTGTATTATTACTAATTTGGTTTTGGGCTTTCTTTCAGTTAAGTCCAACTTCACTGGGTTGTGAAGTGTTATCAGGTAGGCCGACTGCAACCGAACTGCAACCATCAATATAAAGATGCAGCTCGGGTTCCCAGATACGGTATAATTTATGCGCCAGCACGTTTCACAGACAGGGATGTTTTGACGAAAAAGGGACAGCGAACCCTTTCTTGCTGGGCACAGGTACTTGCGTTACGCGAAGCAGTTGGTCAACACGACAAAAACACGCTCTCGAGTATTTTTTTATTGTCTATTACTATTCTTTGCTATTACTATAATAATAATTTTGTTAAATAAACTATATTTCTTGTCTTGAATAAACTATTTTTAATTTATAATTAGGTACTGCTAACTGCTAAGTACAAATAGTACTTCAGTTCCAAGTCCAGTATCGTCATTCCAAAAAAAATAAATAGCAGGAATGGACAATCCGTTGCTCGTTGCATGACCCTTTCTCAAGAATCTCTTTTGGCCGATCTACTGCTGGCAAAGTTACGAACGTAAGTCGGTTCTTTAACAATCTGTTGCACTGGGATGTTGAATAACGCCGACAATACCTGAATATTGACATTCGGCTACGCGACGGTCTGCTGTGGCCCGTGCCGCAGTATTTTTAGCGTAACCGACGGGTTTTGTTTCGATCGATCCGTTGTTTTATTTTGTTCGGGATTCGTTATTATTTACTTGCGTAAATTGCAGGAAAATAATATATTAACAGCCATGGCGGACGAACAACAGGATTTGTTGAATGATGACGGGAACGATATGAATACGAAATTCGGGCTGAGATTGCGAGGGAGGAAGGGCGCGCTGAAGAAGAAGAACGTCTACCAGATCAAGGATCACAGATTTATCCCGAGATTTTTTAAACAACCCACCTTTTGCTCGCACTGTAAAGATTTTATTTGGTAAGTTAACGAAAACATTTATTGTACACATTAAAGTAAAATGCTCCAGTTTACTGTTAAAATGACTCAGTTTTTCAGACAAAAATCACACTCTCGTTCGAGTTGAAGCGAATAACATGTAATTAACAACTTTAGTTTTGCAAAACCGTTTAAAAACGATTAGGTATATTGTGTTCCAATTTTAACTTTAACAACCAGGAAAATTATGTTTGACGTTTGAAATAAATATTTATGTATCGGTTTTGCGTAAATAAATTGGCCGTCTCTTATGTATGAAAAATGTATAGGATGTTTTGGACAGAGTTTATGAGTAGGTATTTGAAGTTTGGACCAAATATTATTAATGCAAGAACAAACAAAATAATTAACCAAATAAAAAAATAAAGCTATTGAATAGATCATCAGAAATTCTATGGAAAAAATCCATTGTACTCGTAATCCATCCATAAACAAGAATGATGTTACAAAAAAAAGTCAATGGAATTATTAGTTCAACGTTTAACTGCTGGTATACAGTTTATTTTTGACTTCGAAGAGCATTTTTGAGCTCAATATTGAACGACAAGACATAAACCGATAAAACTAAAGGACGAGGAAATTACTTCGCGAACAAAAATTAAACACAAAACATAATCTGTATCCATGTTACATGCATTGAAAAAAAGTAGAATAGATTGACTAGAAATACTAGAATAATACAGGAAGTTTCTGCTAATACCTACATTTGAGAATCTTGAACATACGTATATAGGTAGGTCAAAATATGGAAAAAATTTATGATTAAAATACCCATTAATGGAATAAATTAATGACTAATTAGTGCACCGGAATATAGGAACCTACATATAGGTACATATCTAAAAATTTATGGTCAAAATATGGAAAAGATTTAAGATTAAAATACCCATTAATGAAATAAATTAATGACTAAATAGTGCATCGATCTTTTAAATATGTTAATGTTGTTTTCTTGTTCGAGTTTATGTGAATCATATTAAGGTTGAAAAGAAAGCAATTAAGCATTCAAAAATGCTGAGGTTACCCACAAACTACGCACTTACACACAAAAAAGTTTTCATTCGAAAAGTCTTTGGAATTACGATCTTGTGAATAAAACCGTAAGCTTTACATAGGTACTTGTAGTTCCTGAAAGCTGAGAAACATTCAAATAACACATCAATTTAAATCTCCAGTGTCAACTGAGAGATCGGGAATTCCTGAAGAGTATTCACGAGAAGGACTAGATATATAACTAAGGAAGAAGTTCAACACGCCATTCAGTTAACCAAAAACAGGGAAGATGCAGGTCCAGACGGTGTCTATTCAGAACGTAGGTATTGAAATCCTAAAAAATGAGGAGTCACTACACACTTTTCAAGAGGGTTTACCGATCGGGCATCATTTCCCTGACTGGTTTAAATCAACATTTGTGACGCTTTCGAAAAAAAGCTCTGCAAAAAGATGTAGCGATTACCGCCTTGATGAACCACTTTCTGAAGATTTTCCTAAAGATCATCCATAAAAGAATATACGCAAAGTGCGAGTTTTGGTACAAGAACAAGAGAGGTCCTGTTTAGTATCCAAGTGCTAGTTCAAAGATGTAAAGTTTTCTGTTCCTGTATACGCATGCTTCGAAGACTATAAGAAAGCGTTTGACAGGGTACAACAATATGACAAGCTTATGAAAATTCTCAAGAATGTAAGCCTAATGAGACCTCAAGATAATCGCAAATCTCTACTGGAACCAGACGGCACAAATCAAGGTTGACCAACAAATGTCTGACGAAGTACGGATTAAAAGGGGTGTCCGGCAGGGTTGCATCCGACGGGTAAACAGCTGATCAAAATGTGTACACCAGAAATCCATTATGTTTATATAAATCGACAAAATCCACAGAAATCCACAAAAATCCGCAGAGATCCATGAAAATCCGCAGAAATCCAAAGTCTTTTGTGAAAATCCAAAGAAATCTATGGAAATCTATGGACATCCACAAAAATCCACAGTCAGTTAAGAGCTGTAGCCCATCTTGTATCGCTTTTTCCATACTGGCCTGCTCGAATCAGCTGCACTCTGCACCACTGTTTTACTTTGTTGTTGGCATCAAGAATTATTTTACCTTGACTGTCCAACAGAATGCCGGTCTGTCGAAGTTTGTATACGTACACCAGCAGCTCCTTTAATTTTCTTATGCATATTAAATCTGTCATATTTTGCTTCAAGGTCTTCGATTTCCTCACACCGTTCGTTTAGCCAATTTTCTTTAGCTACCCTGGTTTAGTTTTTTATTTCACGATTCAATTGACGATATGCTGGATGGGTCTTTCTGCAGGCGTCTTTCTTCCATCAAGTCGAGGATCGGTCATCCAAGCTTTTTTCATGATCCTAGTGCTGATGGAAATTCCGAGCTGACGGTATCAAAGGCTTCCGTGATACCGGTACATACATTCTCCACTTCTTGGTTCTCTGCCTTGTTTAGTTTATTATCTAATTCGTTTCTAACTTCGGCCAGAGTTGTTTAGTGTCTCGGGCTGTTCGTTTTGTTTTTAGTGTCAACTGAATATTCGCTACGAGCGGATTGTGATCCGAATTTATATCTGCTCCCACAGGATAAGTCTTTGAAGATTTGATGCAATATCATTCGAATCAGCTAAAGCAGAGCTATCCAATAAGTAACTTATATATGGGGTGGCCTATTAAAAAAAATCGGACTTGATATCTCGAAAACGGGGCCAAATAGAAAAATACTGAGAATATCACTGCATTCTGCTTGAAAAAGTGCTTCTAGAAAGTTTTTACGGAAATCAATTATTTTGAAGAATAAAAAAGTTATGAAGCTTTTCCTATTAAAAGTGTTCAGATTGGACCACCCTGTACATGCTAGAAATTAAAATATCATTTTTCATGGAGTACCTACATATTGTTTTTATATTATCAACCAAAGTTAAATTACAATATTCTACCAATAGATAATTAAAAAAAACTTTGACCTTATGTTTCAGTATTATTTTGACTTCCTAAATAATATACTAAAGCTTTAGGTAGTAGGTACATCTTGCTAACCAAAAATTCTTAAAAGTTCTTCACAGAGCTTCTATAACAAGAAAATTACTTCAAAAAACTAGGTTTGAAGCTATTCAATTTCACAATACATTCCCTTTGTTATAATGCTGTAAAAAATAACTAATATTCTGGGACTTTATTCTCAAATTGGACAGCTTTCGCGGATTTTGGTTAACAAGATAAAGCCTGAACTTTGAATGATACCACTAGAGGTTTTTCTCACTCTTCAAGATCAGAATTGAAATCAAGAGGTTTTTCTTTCTCTACTGTAAGATCAGACTTGATATCAGCAACAGGATTAGAAGATTTTGAAAGAGGAGATTTCAAAGTCTCCTCTTTGCTTTTAAAAGTTCCATCTGGAGATTTTCTTCCTTTACTGACTCGGCCCTAGGTTCGTTGGAGTTCTGAGGGAATATTATTATTATTATTATTATTATTATTATTATTATTATTATTATTATTATTATTATTATTATTATTATTATTATTATTATTATTATTATTATTATTATTATTATTATTATTATTATTATTATTATTATTATTATTATTATTATTATTATTATTATTATTATTATTATTATTATTATTATTATTATTATTATTATTATTATTATTATTATTATTATTATTATTATTATTATTTTTTTTTTTTTTTTTTTTTTTTTTTTTTTTTTTTTTTTTTTTTTTCTCCTTATTGGGATCTTATCCATCTATGTCGGACTTGCGTCAAGACATAGTAGATGTGTGTATCAACGAAGAAAAGATCTCACTATACTTACGGCATCTATGACAACTGCTTTTTGCATGTCCGTTGATATTTTGTAATTCAGGTTTAGCTTGCCTAGATTGATCTGCAGGCTCTTTGGTACCAATCCCATAGAGGATACTATTATGGGGACTATTTCCACTTTTTTCAACTGCCATACTCTCAGAATTTCTATTGTCAGCTGTTCATATTTTGTTGTCTTCTCGATTTCTTTAGTTCTAATGTTTTGATTGTTGGGTATTGCTATATCTACAAGTAGAGCTGTTTGGTTTGTTTTGTTGATAATCACAATATCAGGTCTGTTGTGAATCACCTGGCGGTCTGTCAGTATCGATTTGTCCCAGTAGACTTTATGCGTTTCATTCTCAACAACAGGGTGCGGTTTGTATGTATTATTATTATTATTATTATTATTATTATTATTATTATTATTATTATTATTATTATTATTATTATTATTATTATTATTATTATTATTATTATTATTATTATTATTATTATTATTATTATTATTATTATTATTATTATTATTATTATTATTATTATTATTATTATTATTATTATTATTATTATTATTATTATTATTATTATTATTATTATTATTATTATTATTATTATTATTATTATTATTATTATTATTATTATTATTATTATTATTATTATTATTATTATTATTATTAAAGAACTGGAGTAAAACACACAGTCTATCTTCACTCTTTATTTTACAAAAATAATCAGTTGGAAGGGGGGTTGTACATGTTTCGGATCTATCATAGATCCATCATCAGCATAAGTTCTACAAGTTACAAAAATATGGGAGTTATGGCGAGGGGCTGGGGTGTATACATCAAAAACTTACCAAATGGCACAGGGAAAATATGGTCATATACGACATGCCTAAGTATAATAATTATACATAAAAATATAAGTGTTCATGCCGTTATCAGCATAAAGTTGGTGGCTAAAGCCGCATCCAACACAGAACATATTTACAAAACTGGAATAGAGGAAGCTTGTGAGTACGATTTCAAAAATTACGTCAAAGTTTCAACTTACCAAAGGTGAAGATTGAAAAAATTATTGTAAATATGTTCTGTGTTGGATGCGGCTTTAGCCACCAACTTTATGCTGATAACGGCATGAACACTTATATTTTTATGTATAATT